TAGTATGGTGGTATAGACAAGATTCAGTTTTGCATGATTTTATATCTGAAAATATGGGAATTGAAATATAATGCATGCAATTATTACGAAGTGTGTTAAATTTACAATCTAAACAAACACAATTTTGATACTTTACAAACTCGACTCCACTTCTATTCAAAATTACAACAATCCAGTCACACAAGTCTATATTTAGTAGTGCATTTCGCTATTTCTACTTTTCTGTACATGGCTATACAGTACTGGGGTCCAATTTCGTTATTATATATTTTGCTGTATTACATCATAACTTTGTTATTGACTTGGTTGACATTGTTACGTTGACTTAGGAGCCGAGGTCAGTTAACCAAACTGTTAAGTTGTTTTGACTTTCTAGATGATTTCCGTGACAACAGCGGAGTTGTTCAAAAAAGTGACACCTATCTCACAGTGAGTATAGAAAAAAAGAATAGTTCAAGAAGCGGGGCTTTTTTTTGTTGGTTGATAGCGTCATGTGTTTTCCATTAGAACGGGTTGCATACGATTCTTTGAACAGTTTCTCTTCTTTTTTTAGTTCAACTTTTAATAAGAAATTAAGTATGCCATTTTTATAAAACAAAAACGAATAGGGAGGTTTTACTTACATTCTACCGTTCTTTATAGTTCATGCTTGCTGAGAGAGCAGCAGAAATAATAATGGGACATTCCAAGGAATATCCACTATACCTGCAGTTTAATTTGGATATGCCTTCAAAAAGTCTTGAGGTAATCACTTTCTGTAAACACTACAATTATCAATAATTTAATTAAGTGTTAAAATTCGTAAAAAAAACATATATTCATTTGATCGCAGTCGATACACTGGACACAACGCACTTATGCAAATATTTAGTACGCTATGAGAGGCACAAATTAAAATTTTGTTGTTAATAGTTTATGCCGCAAATGCATGCATGTGATGAATAGAATATACAAACTATGACCGTTTAAAATTGTATTTGTCAAACAAACAAATACAAATTATTTTACTAGTTTATTAAATACGATATTACAAAGTCACCCATTGAATAATCTCTATATATGCACATATAGAACTGTAATACCTCTTTTTTTCAGTTTTACGTGTATCTTATATTTTTTATATATTATGTGTGTGCACACAGGTTCCACCTGAGTATGAAGCGTTGTATTCTGACATTGCAGATAACCGAACAAGGAAATTTTATGGTATGTTCTGTGGTTGCCATGTAAAGATGGCTGTACAGCTGTGCGTAGAAGGACATCACATGTGCGTGTCCAAGCTGTAGCATTAATACAGCCATATTCGGGCTGGAAAAGGTGAACACTAAGAAACTGTCAATATATATATATATATATATATATATATATATATATATATATATATATATATATATATATAAGAAACAGTCCCAATATACCAGTATAATCACAGAAAAATATCTCGGTATTCCCCATGTCGATGTGTAAATGGGCAAAACAAACATAATTCATTTTGTTTATTTGGTGTTTATGTAGTATTCCCATGAATACCTTCATATGCACAGTAAAAAATCTTTATTGTTAATATGACATATTTTTTTAGAGTTGGGATTTCATTAGTTCAGTCATACTCACCTTACAAAATTCCAATGTTTAGCATTGACTAGTGGGCTTACGATCCGAGTGAGCACTGTGTCGGAAAATTTAGCATCCCGAGTGTCAGTAAAATATAACTGTCTTGCATCACTTGATCTCAATACCTAAATGTATTGATTCGCCCCCAAAAGCATTGATGCCTTTGCTTCATGATTTAAAAAACAAAAAAACAAGATACCATTTCAAAGTGTGACCATTCGGACTCAATGTTGCAGCATGTTGTTTTCACAAGGTTACTGTGCATGTAAGTCACGTGGCTGTTCCGAAAGTTATGAAGTGGATCAGTCAATGACAGGTTGAGATCAGCTAGAGGTTGTACTACCATAGAGGTTGTACTTAGTCATCAGTGTATTAAGATCAGTGATCTAGTGGTCCAACTAGAGTTTCGTGGGAATGACTTCAGAGTACATCAATTACTGGTGTTAGTAATCATAGCCCAGCGATGTGGGTCACCATCGGGGATGAGACTGACAAAGACCCCATAACGTCTAGCCATTCCCAAGTGATGACATATCGATGGGATACACCGCATCTTTCATGAAAATAACCATAACCACAGATGTCAGAGCGAAACCATAGGGTTATGCCATAGTATGCACGAAGACGTGAGAATCGAACATAGCGTGAACAATTCCATACTTTGCGGAATCCTTGAGATAATATTCATTATATATATTCCCGGACCAACCACTAGTACTTATATGCTATGAACTTTGTTTCACAGCTTCACAAGCGTCCACAATACTGGATATACCGTGAAATCGCAATTCCTAGTGGACACCTCGAGCACAACCGCAAAATTACGACATGCTGGATTCATGACAGATGTGTCATATGAAATCGTCTGTTTCAGGATCTGATTAGATAATATTGGCTGCCATTGTTAAATCACTTTCATAACCCACATGTTGTCACTTTGCATCGTTGTGTATGACGAAACAAAGAGTCAGAAACTCACCTAGTAACACTCCACCCAAACTTCGGAGAATTTTCAATTTGCAAATAATAACTTAGGAAAATTTAGGTAAAATAATTTAGGTTTTTCTCACTTTTAGGAAAGTTGTCTGTCATGGATGATGCAGTTGGTACTGTGGTGGAGGCGTTGAAGACAAGAGGAATGTGG